CCCGCCACACCTGGGGCATGGCAGGAACACTTACAACACTCTTCTCGTGGCCCTAGGTGGAATCAATCCTGCTGCCCGTCAGGAAGGGGAGGGAGGAGAGAGTGCAAGGACCTCCATGTGGGGCTCATCTGGCCATGACTCCACACGACTCGCACCACACAGCATGCACGGGCCTCACGAACACAGCAGCGAGGCACCAAATCCGAGAGCATCTGGGCCAGCCCTGCTTTACAGAAAGTCTTTTCAAAAGAGAAAGTTACCAACAGTGTTCTGGAATTTCCATTTACTATTTACTATTTTGGGCCACTGCTGCCCTCCAGTAACCGGGGGAGCAGAACGTGAGGCTCAGATGAGGTGGCCGTACTTGCCTCATCACGCTTTTACCCCCATGGAGCCCTTCATTTCTTCCTCCACCCTTGAAGTTTGGGGTCATTTTTTGGCATCTGACAAACTCCCATTCATGCACTATTTTTAATGCAGCCTGCAGGTGACAAGTTCTGTCCATTTTTCTTTTCTAAAAACATCTTTATTTTGCTTCATTTTTGCTTTTTTTTCTTTTGATGCAGAAGTCTATGTTAGCATTTATTTTCTTCCAGCACTTGAAATATGTATGTCCATATTTTTAGATCATTTCTGCTGCAAGGCTAACCGGAAGTCTTATGCCCTCCCCTAGAGGTATCATGGCTTTTATCTTCTCTGATGCACAAGATTTTCACTGTGCCTTGCACAAGTTTTACTGTGAGGTACCTGAATAATATTTTCTTAGAGTATTCCTACTCAGGGCTCAGAATTGGTGACCTGTGTCTCTCCCCAGTTTTGGACAGTGCAAGCTATCATCTCTTCAAATATTGCTATTACTTCACTCTCTCCTCTCTTTCAAACATCTCCATCACACAGTCGGCCTTTTCACATCTCATATGTCTTTTACACTGTTTTCTGTATTCTTTTCTGTTCTATTTTCCATGCTTATCTGGATATTTCCTATTAAGCCATATTCCAGCTTACTACTAAACCTTTTAACAGTGTCTAATTGGCTTAGAAGTAGAAATCCACCTGTAGAAATCCACCTATTCAGTTCTTAATTTCAGTTACACAATTGCCAGTTTGACCAGTTCTCTGCTCAGATTCTTCATTTTTTCATCTGTTTTCTCCACCATCTTCTATTTTCTTCAACATATAAATTATAATTGTCTTTAAAGATCTTTTCAGATATTGTCAACACCTGGATGGTCTGTGGATCTCATCTTCTATTCTCTGGCATAACCAGCAGCTTTTTATTGAATGGTGGGCATATTACAAGAAGTTAGAGGAGGTTTTTTTTTTAAATCTGCGGGGTTTTTTTTTTTTTTGAAGTAAAATTTAAAAACAGCAAGTTCACCTATTTTAGTGTAGCTCTATGATTTTCCTCTGGGATTTTTCCTTTGATTAATATTTTCTTTAAGGCTGGTTACTTTCATTATTAGAGGTCTTTCTAGGTACCTCTCTGTAGTTGATTCATGGTTTAGGGTCAAAGAATACCCTTAATATGATTTCAATTATTTTAGGATAACTGATGTCTATTTTAAAGCCCAGAATATGGTCTATGTTGGTGACAGTTCGATTTGAACTTGAAAAGACTGTGTTTGGCTGCTGTCTGGTGGAATATTCCACATGTGGAAGATAGTTGAAATTGGTTGACAAGTTCATGACTTTTATAGCTTTATCAATCTTCTGTTGACTCGTAACATCTAGTACAGACTCAGGAGTGGGAAGGCTGTGTATTGTAGGCTCACCTGTTTCTTTCAATTCTGTCTGCTTTTTCTCTAATGTTTTTTTCGAACTCTGACTTTTGGATACCTATCCCTCTAGGAGTGTATGTCTCCTTGTCAAGGTGACCTTCTATCAATATGCAAAAGTCCCTTTATTCTTGATAATAATCTTTGCTCTGAATTCTACTTATATTAATCGAACCATTTTGAGTTTTCTTTTGATTAGAGTTTACATCATTTTACCTTTAACAACACTGTATCTTTTTATTCAAATTAGGTTCCTTATAAATAGCATGCAATTATATCTTTTTTTAAAATCGACTCTGAAAGTCATTGTCTTTTAATTTTGTGCTTATACCATTTACACGTAAAGTAATCACTTACACGACTGGATGGAAACCTCACTCTTGTTAGTTGTATTCTATTCGAATTTTTGTAAGTATTCTGTCTCAGTTTATCTTTTGGATTTCAACTATATATGTTTGTGTACTTACTTCGGAGGTGGCTCTGGATTACAAAAAATACATATCCAATTTGTCTCAGGGCACAGAGTCTTGGAGTAAAATACAGAAGCCTTGCAGCCGGGAGTGTCACACCATCCCCTATGTGGTAGTGTATACATACAGTCCATCTCCATGCACTGAACCTATCAGATTGCAGTGTTTCAGACTTAAGAGGCTTTACTAGTCTGACATTGACCCTCCACTTCCGTGGCTCTCCTTCATTCCCAAAGATTTTGGGTGTCTCCTACTTCCATATTCCTTCCACCTGAGAACGTCCTGTGGCATCACTTGAAAGCAGACCGGCTGCGGAGCCCACATGGGGCTCCTTTATCCGTGTATGTCTTCATCCCAAGTTCGCACCTGAAGATAGCTTTCACTGAATATGACATTCTGGGTTAGAGTTCCTTTCTTCCAGCACTT